CGTCTGGATTAAATCGATTAAATTTAAACAGTACGGTTATGTCTTCTCCGAATCTGCCGGATGAGAACTCTTAGCATTCCCTCTGTTTTTGTTGTTAAAAAAAAAATCCCTTTTGGAAGTCACACAACCTTTAGGGTAGGACCCTTCTTGGCCGCGGGTTGTAAAGGATATTTTTAGGCTTAGGAAGTTTTGGTTTAATGTTTAGGAAAGCTTGAATACTATGCTGATTTTTCTGTTTGAAATTAGGTGTCGTTAATTCGTGAGTTGGACATTTTCGCTGCTGTTTGGAGTTGGTATTGTGACGTTTAAGGTAATTGTGTGGAGGCCCTCCTATTTATACTTGCTAGAAGGAACACGAGACGTGATCGTGGCTCCATGATTTGATATACTTACGCGTATTAATATTGATCGTCTTGAAATCTTGTTAATCTTGCTACATATATATGCTGCAAAGTCTAGTTATGATATAAATTATATGATCTAGACATTCATGTGCATCATGACATTTTATTTAGTATGCGGTATGCGTCACAAAGCATAGCATTCGCGCATCAATTTCATATTGCTGCTGAAAAATTATTTTTGAAAACTATGCATATGGATGAGCATGCACCATTTAGGCATAACCTACGGTACCAAGGTCTTGGGACAGTTGGCTTCAGTCCACTTAGGCCACGGTCGGATCCCTTCTTGAGAAGCCATCAAGGGTAATCCACTGTGCTTGATAGTACGGCACATTAGTGCTATAACGTACTCTTGGCGTTCTTACGCATCTTGTTTAGCATATGGCAACATGTATATATATGTGATAAATCTTGTTATGTTAATTATTTCGGTTTCTAGCTTATGCTTCTTGCATTTTGGTATTGTCTCTCACTACTGGGAAATATATCTCACCCCTTTGGGGCTGCTGTTTTCTGATGTAAAATGGCAGGGGGACGCAAAAGTATTTGAGGTATTGCTATGAGATGTTTGTGCCATTTTGTTGCTGGATTCATGGCTATTTTGTTGAGTGGTTGGCTGTGTTGCAAGAAGGATAACTTGAAGTTTTATTATTATGTCATTTTGAATTTTTAAGAGTTGTTTACTTCTGTTTGGAACATTTCTGAACTAGTTATTGATCTTGAACTTTTGGTTTAATTGCTGTTTTGGATTAATGACTATAATTTTGGAAGTATCGAATTTTTCTGAAAACTGTTACCTTGCGAGCAACTTCTAAGTTGTCGTTCCGGGGCTACGAACCTCCGGATGCGGCATAATTTATATGCACGCGAAGCCCCTGAAATTTTCTCTAAGAATCTGCAGAAATCAAATTTTTATGGCAACTGTACGAATTTTGAAAAATAAGGCACTACAGCAGGTTTTGAGAAAATTTGCAGAATTCGCGAGCAACTTGCGAGTTCGAGTTCAAGGGGCTATTCATCTCGGAATCGCGCATATGTTATATGGACGCGAAGCCCCGAGTATCTAGTTTCACAGTAGAAAAGAATTATTTCTATCCGGCATCAGATTGATTTTATATTAATTTTAGAGAAGAGTACGTTTTTCTGGTAAAAAGAGAAATTTCAGCAAGTGCTCCTCTTTGAAACTTCCGCTGTTTTCATGAATAACAAATTTTAAATACAAGGTTTTTGATCTTGATTAATCAATAAAAGATTCATGCTGTTTAGTGTTATTCACGCGTTATAAACGAAATTTTTCCGCTGCGACTCTAATACAAGTTAGCTTTAGCACGTCTCCTGTATGCATACAAGAGGGGTGCTACACTAATTGGTATCAGAGCAGTTTTGGTTCATGGATATTTGTTTTTGGAGGAATTGTAGCTGCATGCTTGCTGATTGTGATTGATTGTGATAACTCATGGTTTGATGTGTGATTGGTTAATTAACTCGTTAGGAATATGTTAGCTGAAATAGTTTGATCGATAAGATTATTTAGGGATAAGTGACTGAATCATAGTTACTTACCCGAATTGAACTCGACTACCTACGTGAGATTGCTGTCATAAATAACCTGCAATGAGTCTAATCAGCTCATTTCGTGATATTGTGAGTGCAGAATCATGGCAGGAAATCGCGGTTCCACTCGGGGAAGACCAAGCAATGCAGAAGAAGACCTTATCACCACTGTCGGAGGACTAGCGACGTTCGTGCAGAACATGAGCCAGGAATGGCGAAACTATCAACAACAAAATCAGAATCAACCCCCGCCATTCGACTATGCGGAGGAAATTGCCAGGCGGAGATTGAAGGATTTCCGTAATTTCCAGCCACCTATTTTTGAAGGTGGAGATGATCCAGAGACTGCAGCTCGGTGGCTGCAGATGATTGAGCATGTATTTGAGCGCATGAGATGTCTCGAGGCTCAGAAAACTGAATACGCATCGTATCAGCTGATCGGAGAAGCCCTTACTTGGTGGACTAGTGCAAGAGCCCTGCTGCGAGCGCAGAATGTGGAATTGACATGGGTCGTGTTCAGACGAGTTTTCCTGGACAAGTATTTTCCTCAGGCTATGAGAAGGATGAAACACTCCGAGATGTTGGCACTGCGTCAGGACAACATGACGGTTACCGAATATATCTCTAAGTTCGGGCAACTAATGGAGTACGCCAACTTCGACCGCAACATTTATGATGAGCCATGGCAGGTGGAAAAATATGAGAGCGGGTTACATCCGGAGATCCGCAAGCTCATGTTGACCACTGCAAACCGGTCATTGCCTGAAGTAATTAACCAGAGTAGGCAGGCGGAAGCAATCATCAATGAGGCCCAGAACCTGAATAAGCAACCAACCCAGTCTCAGGGAGGAAGCAAAGTTGGCCGATTCTTCAAGAAGATTACCGGAATGGGTAAAGGCAAGAATCCTCAGATGCAAGCTCGAGCCAGAATTTTCAAGAAGAACAATGCTCCTGGTCAGACATCTACTGGAAGACAGAATTATGCTTGCCCTACTTGCGGGAAGAATCACACTGGAGTTTGTCGTCGAGCAAGTAACTTGTGCTATGCTTGTGGACAGTCAGGACATTTTGTTTCCGATTGCCCGCAGAATCCTAACAGGAATTCTACTCAAGCTCGGGTATTCACCCTAGATGCCAATGAAGCTCAGAAATATCTGAACCTGATCAAAGGTAACGTGATTTTAAATGGTTATCCTATGTCTGTTATTTTTGATTCGGGTGCATCGGGCTCTTTTATGGCAAAACACACCGCTCTAAGAATAGGCATTACCCTGGCTCCATTGCCCTACGAGTTGAACATCAGTACTCCTACTGGAGGGCATTGTACAGCCTCAGAGATCTGCCGAGGTGTTATTCTACAATTTGAAGGAAACACGTACACCGTGAGTTTGGTGGTCCTACCGGTATTCAACTTCGATGTGATTATCGGAATGGACTGGTTGTCGGAAAATGGAATGACGCTGGATTGTCAGGCAGGGAAGGTCATTGTTCCTCCGAGAGATGGTAATTCTCTTTCTTTCTCTACTATTTCATTATTACAAGTTAGGAAAGAGCTCATTCGAGGAGCTGCCGGATATTTGCTGTTAATGGAGTCCGAGACTTCAGTTGGCAAATCAATTCGGGATGTACCTGTTGTCAATGAATTCGAGGAGGTGTTTCTGGATGAAATTCCTCGATTACCCCCTCATAGGGAAATTGAATTCCCCATTGAACTTATTCCCGGAGTTGGACCTATATCCATTGCTCCGTATCGTATGGCACCTTTGGAACTTAGAGAATTAAAGAAGCAAATAGAAGAGCTGCTGGAAAAGGAGTTCATTTGACCTAGTACCTCACCATGGGGTGCTCCAGCAATCTTGATTAAGAAGAAGGATGGTAGTCTGCGTCTGTGTGTAGATTATCGTCAGCTGAATAAAGTGACTGTGAAGAATAAGTATCCTCTCCCAAGGATCGATGATTTGATGGACCAGCTAAGAGGTGCCAGAGTCTTTTCTAAGATAGATCTGAGATCGGGATACCACCAAATCCGGGTCAGACCGGAGGATATTCCGAAAATAGCTTTCCGTACTCGTTATTGTCATTATGAGTATCAAGTGATTTCGTTTGGATTGACGAATGCTCCGGCAGTATTCATGGATTACATGAACCGCATCTTCCGTCCTTTCCTTGATCAGTTTGTTATCGTATTCATTGATGACATTCTGATTTACTCTTCGAATGAAGAGCTACATGCAGAACATCTTAGGATGGTTTTGCAAATCCTGAAAGAGAAGCAATTGTATGCAAAGTGGTCCAAGTGTGAATTATGGCTCAGTGAAGTTCAGTTCTTGGGACACGTGATTTCAGCTGAAGGTATCGCAGTTGATCCCAGCAAAGTGGAAGCTGTCATGAATTGGGATCAACCCAGAACCGTGACTGAAGTACGTAGTTTCTTGGGTCTTGCAGGTTATTATCGAAGGTTTATCCAGAATTTCTCACGTCTGGTGCAGCCTCTTACTCGTCTAACTCGAAATGATGTACCTTTTAAATGGACTGAAGATTGTGAAGAATGTTTCCTGGAGCTGAAGAATAGATTGACAAGTGCTCCGATACTTACTATTCCTGATCCAACAAGGAAGTTCGAAGTATATTGTGATGCGTCCTTGAAGGGACTTGGTTGTGTACTGATGCAGGATCGGATGGTAGTGGCTTATGCCTCTCGGCAACTGAAATCTCATGAAGAAAATTATCCTACGCACGATCTGGAGTTAGCAGCCATAGTGTTCGCGCTGAAAATCTGGAGACATCACTTGTATGGTTCTCAGTTCGATGTGTTCAGCGATCATAAGAGTCTCAAGTATTTGTTCGATCAGAAGGAATGAAATATGAGGCAACGTCGATGGATGGAATTTTTGAAAGATTATGAGTTTGAACTGAAGTATCATCCAGGCAAAGCGAATGTAGTAGCTGACGCCCTGAGTCGAAAGACTCTCCATACCGCAGCCTTGATGATAGAAGAACTGAAGTTGTTTAAAGCTTTTCGAGATATGAACTTGTCGGTTGTCAGGCGAAGGCGTAGTATAAGGTTGGGCAATATTAAGATAGAAAATGAGCTACTTCGTAGGATCAAGGAGGCCCAAAGAAATGAAGAGTTAGTCCATGATCTGGCCGGAATGCGAGATGTGGTTTGGGATGAGAACGAAATGTTAAGGTTCCAAGGTCGGTTAGTAGTGCCGAGTGAAGAATTAAAGTCAGAAGTCTTGCAGGAAGCTCATAAAGGAAATTATGCCGTTCATCCTGGATCCACGAAAATGTACCATGATCTGAAGACGTCGTTCTGGTGGCCGGGAATGAAGCGTGACATTGCTGAGTATGTGTCTCGATGTCTGACGTGTCAAAAAGTGAAGTACGAACATCAGAGACCTTCGGGATTACTTCAACCTTTGGAGATTCCCGAGTGGAAATGGGACAGTATTGCTATGGACTTTCTAGTAGGACTTCCTCGTTCGAAAGATGGTTATGATGCTATTTGGATAATTATTGACCGATTGACGAAATCAGCTCACTTCTTGTGTGTTCGAACCACGTATAATACAGAGAAGCTGGCAAGGATTTATCTGCGAGAGATCGTGAAGCTGCATGGAGTTCCTACCAGTATAGTCAGTGATCGTGATCCTAAGTTCACCTCTAAATTCTGGGAGTCCTTTCAGCGAGCTCTCGGTACGCAATTGAGGTTGAGCACTGACACGAGCTGTCGAACTCGCGCAAATTAAAAATTATTTTTTTAATTAGGGTTCAGAAAATTTGCAGTAAAGTGGAAACCCTAAGTCGTCTCTGAAGGAAATTGTTTTGGTTAAAATCGCTTATGAGAACAGAAAATAAAAAGGGGGGTTTTAGATTTTGATTCAATAATTAAAGAGGCAGAATATAAATTTGGAATAAAAATTCGTAATTAAAAATAACCAACCTAAGGTTTGGGTTCCATGGACGTCTTTCCTCGGATAAGAAGATATCAGAATCGTGATTGATTTGTCAATCGGATCAGAATCCTTATTTCCAATTGACAACCCTCTCTAAGCGATCGCTTAGCATTTGATCAAAGACGATGCTTCTACTCATACAATCGCAGAGTATCAGCCCGCTTGATTTAAGGTCATAGGGTTAATCAACAATCAACCTAATCATCAAATCTGATGATTAATCCCTTTCCATAATCGCAATCGCGAACCTCAGATTGAATATCCACGATCGCACGATATCAATCTGAGTTGGGAAGGGAAACAAAACTGATTTGAAATAAACGCAGATCCTCAAGACCAATCCATGGAATCCATTACCCTTAGGTTGATTAAAAGGTTCTTAGCCTCGCATGGCTAAGGTAAACATAATTGAAATGAAAAGAAGAAGAAGAAGAAAAAAGATGAAGAACACAATTGAATAAAAACTCAGAGAGAACTTCTCTGTTGTAAAAACTGCCTCCCAAGGGTTTCCTAGAGTCCCCTTTAAATAGCCGTCACGCAGGACGGCTAGGGTTTCATTGCTTCAGCCCAAACATAAAATAAAAAAACCGAATAAAATAAAATGAAACAATAAAACTTGGCTTTGGGCCACTTAAGTAATTGGGTTTTAATTTAAATTACAAGCCCAATAGTCAAACAAAACTTCAGCAAAACGCGTCCAACTTGGTGTCCGAAATCGACCAGCTTCTAGTCCGAATTGGGCTTAGAGCTCTGCATAAGAATTGTATCTCTCTGTGTTATCTGAAAAACCCAACAAGAACGGAGTCAATCCGACAACTATGGACCGAGATATGGCCAAAATACAGAAGTAACGTAAAGCTGAAAAATTCTGACGAAAATAAATTAAACCCAATTAAAAACTAAAAACCTAAATTAACTCTAACAATCATTATTTTATTCAAATAAATCCTAAAAATACTAATCAAGAGTAACAAATAAGTGTAACAAAATATGTGTTATCAAATTCCCCCACACTTATCTTTTTGCACTCCTGGGCAAAAACTAAAATTGAAAGTAAATACTAAGATCAACCAATCCTTTCTAACAATTACCAAGCATACAGAAAATATACAAAGATCACAAGTCTTCTACAGATAAATCAATCAGGACAGAAATTCCCTAATCTCAAATCACAAGACCTGCTAACTTCAACTGCAACTGCTAACTGCATAAAAAATGGTTCCTCACAAGATGCTCTCAATTTTTCTCTCAAGTGTATCAGTTAATTCAGTATATCACTCAAATCAACTCAAGAAAATCATCCTACCATAGGCTTGCTCAAGTTCTACTTCTCCACTGCTCATAACACATGCATGCACAAATCAAGAGGGCTTTATGCAGGGTTGTAATGGGGCTGAGGTAAAGGTATGGATGAATATGGAAGAGAAAGCTAAACACCCCAGAATTTTACAAAGAGCAAAAGTTAAGAACTAAACTAAGAACATAAAACAAAGATACTGAAAAGATAAACACTTTTTTTTCTTTTTCTTTTTTTTTTTTTTTTTTTTTTTTTTTTTTTTTTTTATTTATTCTCTTTTTTTTTTTTTTTTTTTTTTTTTTTTTTTTTTTTGAAGAAGTAAAACCACATAGCAGAAATGAATCAGATAGTCACCCCCCACACTTAAACTTTTGTCCGTCTCGGGCAAACCCCCACACTTAAACACAACATCACAATGAAACCAATGCTCAGTAAAACTCCAGGGTGTGGAATTAATTGGTTTTTCACTTAGGCTTGTAATGCGGCTTAAGAAATAAAAGATATAAAGGCTCAAAGGGGCTCACCAAGGGATAATAATATAAGGGACGGCTATCTGGCTAAAGTGGGTACAGAAAAGAAAGAATGCCTCAATCATATTCATGCATGCAAGTGAAAAATGCAGTTTCAAAAAGAACAAGAGCAAGTTCTAGAGGACAACAATCAAGAGCAGAAACACACAAGAAAGAAAGCATGGCCAGAAGATATGCCATGTATGCGGGCTCAAAACCTCACAAGGGTAAACCAAGTCATGCAATCAACAACACAGAATCAATCAACAGGTAGTTGTAATCCAAGAATCGAGATCAAAGCCCAACAGATTTATGCTATCAAACACTGTGATCTATGTCTACTCTATGTACCACTCAATAATTACCAGAAAGAAAAGGAAAATCTACCTATGAAAAATCATAAACTAAAAGAAAGAAAGGAAAAGAAAAATAAAAATGCAAATAACAGAAAGAAAAGAAAAAGTCAAAAACTAAAAGAAAGAAAGGAAAAGAAAAATAAAAATGCAAATAACAGAAAGAAAAGAAAAAGAGGGAAGAGAACTCCCTGAACTCCCTAAGGAGAATAAACAGCATCAAACAGCCTGATTTCTGCCTCACTGGTTTAACACCTTCAAGTAAAATGCGGTGCATGCACATGGAAGGGCTGATTCCCACATTATCTGCTAAAGTCCATCCAATTGCCTTTTTATTTTCTTTCAGCAATGTCAGAAGCTTTACCTCCTGCTCAGGTAGAAGGTTCTTGGCCACTATCACAGGTAACTGCTCATTTTCCTCAAGAAATGCATATTTCAAGTGGTCGGGCAGAACCTTCAACTCCAATTTCGGAGGTTGCTCACTGGATGGAAGAGGTGTAGTTGGTGGTGCAAATTCTGCAGAAAACAAGTCAGCAGCAATGCCTGTAAACAAATTCTCAGAAACAGAATTAGGATCATCAATAATATCAGCAGGCAATTCAGAAAGTGCAGATTCACACTCAGAATCAGATTCATCAATAAGTGCATCGTTAAAACCAGAAAGATGTGATGCTATTTCAGCACACACAATGCACTCTTGACTAT